ATTTTGATATTAAAATCTAAATTAGGAAATTTATCGGTTAAGTCGACTGAGTCGACTGACTTAATCAAGTTGATATAAATCGACTTAATACAATCGGTTCCAAACACTACCAATAAGTATCGCGCTCCTGTAGACTCTCCCGTTTCTCATTACTTTAAGACGTTTCCTCTTAAGAGTTGGTCTCACAAACATTTCTATAAATACACAGATACTCTAGATTTGGAGCAAGTGACCCGTCTCTGGTATGATAATATCACCACTATAAAATTCCTTCCCGGTTCGGTGGTCGACGAGAAGCTGTTCACTTCAATTGTCAGGAGGAAAATGGCAAATGTATTTGATGTTAATGAAAAGAAACGTAAACACGCTGAAGATGAAGTGCATACCAATTCTGTAAGTCTCATGCATACGCGTTCGATACTATCGATATTCGAGAGGAAATTTTTCTCTGCTGATCGTTTTTGTTTTCTCTGTTTAGGTCACGATGTCTGCTGGACTTCTGAAAGATACCTTTGAGCATCATAGAAAATATATAAAACGAAAGCTAGGTGTGTCCCCACCAGTTACTTCTGTTGTAAATAGATCTAGTGAAGCTTTAATCCTGGTATGTACATACAGTGGATACATTTATTCTGTACTGCATATTTTGCAGGTTTTAACGAAATATACGATTAGGAATTGAAGACTGATAGTGACGACGAACCAGACACGGAAAAAATTAAATTTGATCAGTATATAGATAACGAAAATTTTATTCAAGAAAAACTTTCGTTGAATAATCTGTATATACTTGAAACCAACGTGGATGATACTTTTGTAAGTTTTCCTTTTCTTTTCAATCAATCAACCTTTGCTAATAAATTTGTTTTCTTTTACAGTATGTATTCCAAGAGAAAAATATTTCCACACTATTTACTTCGTATCAGTCTGAAGCATTAATAATGGGGCAAACATCGGGTTTGTCAATTGTAACAGATTATCATGAAATTTTGTAAGCATGAACTTCGAAACCCGTCCCTTTTATGTAGATTATCAGTCACTAACAAATATTTGTTGAAAACATTAGGAGTTTGGACAGTATTTTATTGCTGCAAGCTAACAAATTTTCAGACTTGCAAGTCAAAAAATTCTCCAGGAATACTCTGACAAGTTTGCGGAAAAACATGTGTGATATACATGCGTCTAAAGTCAAGGTTACATCAGCTATAAATTCTATATTTCGAGAATATGTTGAGGTATTGTATATTTATATTATGTAATGCTTCCATTTATTCATAATTTTTTTACCGGATTTACTACATCAGATTGCGATTGATGAGGATCTTGGGCTAGAAAAGGCAGAAAAGGCTATAAAAGAATCGTTCACGAAAAAGTTTCCTAATCCCACGGATCAGGAAATGTTTGATATAATGCAGTTGATTTTTTTACAACTGTAAGTTATAAGCATTTTACTTTTCTTCTTTCTTGCCTTTACTTTTGTAATGTTTCTTATTTTGTTTTAGAACAAAAAATTCCTATAAATCCGTTAGACTATCTCCTTAATGAAGAAACTTTGACGGCAAACATTATCAGCCCTGTTTTGCGTTCTTTCTTTCATGATTCCATGCTTCATTCCACTATATGGCCAAATGCGGCAAGCATAAGCACAAAATCTCACAATCATAAGCTTGTTAATACGGATCTGTCACGCGCCAAACAGCCTGATGGAATTGGAAATGTCACGAACAATAATAAACCGGCGTTTGAAGTGATGTATGGAGAAAACACTGGAGAAGGAAAGAACAACAATATTAGAAAAAATACCCTTGATCTCATTAGAATAGGTATCTTTATAAAAGAAGCTCTAGACAATGTTATTAAGGAAACAGGAAGATGCTTTGTAATCTTTAGATGGCAAACAGTTGGTGAGTGTCTAAATGCTAAATTGCTTGCAAAGTTGTTAATACGTGTAATATATATATATAATATAATAGTAAACAGCATGGACAGGCTATATGATGGTTTTGACTGATCCGGGAATTTATATCATGTTTGATGTTGGACAAACTGAGCTTCCTCGATCCTTTCAAACTTGTGGGCAGTTTATTGATAGTGTTGATAATTTGTTTATATTTGCAGTATGCTTGGATGTACTTTTTTCCCGAATTATTTAATTTTTTAAACCTAACAAACAACATTTATTAAAAACTTAAGGAGAAATATAAACATGAAGTACGAAAAATTTATGATTATATTAATCAAGGAAAAGTAGATAGTGTAAATGTTTGATTTTATATCTTGCATTTGCAACATCTGTATCTGGCTCTTTTCTTTGAACAAAATCAATTTCCATAGCATCATTTATAATGTCCTTCTTAGTTGAATTCGGTGCCTCGGGAACTGGATCCCTATATTTTTTTAGAATCTTAGATAAAGGTATAGTGAACAAATTCTCGATTTTATTGTTTTTCTAACATATTAGTAGACAAAGCTTTTATGAGTAACCACAATCTTTTGAATAAATCATTCATCATGAATTAATTTGTTTCGGAACTTACCAGAAATTAAGGTATCTTTCTGTTTTACTTTACAAGTTATAAAAACATTCTCAGAGTTTGCTTGTTTTTTTTTAAAGATGTGTATATTAACACCATAATCAGATTTTGTCAAGAATTCTCCCTCATCAAATTAAACTCAAAATTATTATCAGAAGAATTAATATCGAAATTAGACTCTGAATTTGGTTTTGATTTATTACTATTGATATTACCTTTCTTTTTAGATCCATTCTTCTTTTATTTTAATAATAATTAGAATGAATTTGAATGATGTCCAGTTCTGTAATATTTGAACATTTGGGTTAAAATAATTTCTTAATTTTCCTCCTAACCTTTCTAGCCATAATCTTATTCATTGATAACTTATATAATCAACTAGATCTTTATATAAATCAATTTTATTATTTTTAAAAAATTATATCGACTTTACTGAAAGCATATCTGACAATTCTTTATAAAGATTATTTGCTAGAGATTTTATAAATTATCTGGTTAAATGCATTGAATTTGTAAGATCCACATAAATGCTTCTTTCAAAATTAATTTTATAATTTCTTTAGAATATATTTATTACTGTTAAATTAATTTTAATGTTTGCATTACTTATGAAAACTTTTCTACTTTTAGTTATTAGTTTTTAAAAATAGTTTTATTATAATTTCATTTGACTTATATTTCTTTTTTTCCTATTTATCTTTAACAACGGTTATAAAAGTTTTGGAATATTGATTTTTTTTTAAAAAAATAAAATTATTTAAAACTTGGAAACTATAGTTATTTTGAAATTTTGAAATAATTATAAATTCAAATTTAATCATTAAAATATTGTATGTTTAAAAAACATAACATTTTTTTTTATATTAAAATTTAAACAAATTTGAAAATTTATTTTATATTTCTCAACATTACACATTTATTTTGAAAATTATATTTAAATAAAATTATAAAATTCATATTGATTTAATTTAATTTGTTAAATGTTTTTATTCTAATATCTTATCATTATAGTTTAAATTAAAACAAATATAAATAATTTAAATTTTATTTGATAAAATGTAAAAAAAAAAACTATTTTAATAAAAACCATAAATTTAATATTAAGTATTTATTTAAATTTAATAAAAACTTTACAATATATGTATTTTATTTTGAAGAATAAATTTACTTGGTATATAAAAATAAGTTTTAATAATAAAAAATTTTTATTCTATTAAATTATCTATACTTAATATTTTGTTAAACAACCTTTGCTATCTATAACAGTACAAACTCTAGAAAACATATCATTGATAAAGTTACATTTTTTAATATTAATTATTAAATATAATAAAATTTTATTATAAGTAAAATTTATTACAAGAAGCAGGTTTTTTAACATATAAATAAAATAAAAAATTGTGTATATATAAACTATTTTTATTAAATATGGAGAATTATTTTTGAAGATGACAAAAATGCTAGATACAGTATAATTTTTTCAGATCCAGCTTTTAAAACAATACATATACAATATAAATTTTAGGATCACATCAGAAAATTTCCAGTTCACCTTTGAAAATAATTACCTATATAATGATTTTTAAATATTTTGATATTTTAAAAAAATTATATGTTTTCTCAAATTTTTGAAAAAGAATTTAATTCAAATTGATGAAAGCATAAAAAATTATATTTGTTTCTAGATCAATAATTATTATCGATATTCTCTATTCCCATACAATAACTTTAGACTATATAGAAAAATTATCTGAATATTCAATTTTTTTATCACTTGGTAATATATTGTTAGCATCAAATTTGTAGTAGGGGGCATGACATGACATGTGGGGTCCAGCGCAGTGCCGCATGAGGCATCGATCATGCATCAATTATGCATGATTGATGGGCGCAAAGCTTGTCAAAGTTTAATACTTTTGCATAACGTGACGATAGATTTAGAGACACGTCGCAGTCATATAAATAGCAGTAATATTCAGATGTAAAAAGGAGAGACAGAAGCAATTAATAAAATACTACTTTTGCGAAACCCAACTGCTTGTACCAGTGCAACGATAATTAATAAACTTACCTTATTTGTCTTTTAGTCGTCCTAGAGAGGATCCGCCGCCCTATAGTTTGACAGGGGAGATCAGAAGAGGAGACTAATTAAACCAAGGGAAAGATTAAGATAATTATCACCACACGTACCTTTGGTATCGCCAGCGACACAGACTCACTCACCCAACGTAGCACGAGTCTTGGTCCGGATTGGCGACAGACTTGCCGTTGAGGATGACAATATTAAACTTTTAAAGAAATAAATTTAAATTTAAAGTATTAATTAGATATCTTTCAATTTTAAAAGCCTATAATTCTAAAAAATTTTTTTTGAACAGATGGCTTACACCTTGTTTATTAAATATTATATGATGAGTATGTACAAATTTATTTTATACAAATTTATTACTCTGTCTATCTAATTAAACTTACTAAGGAAAATTCTTACCATGCAGCTTATTGTCAAGTACTAGTATATACTTGACTAATTTGCTAAGGATCTATCTATCCCATAAAAATTTTGTTTTAAAAGAATAGATTGTGTTCCAGTTGATCTAGTAATAGCTGGCAAATTTTATGATTTTATTAATTTCTGAAATAGAGGGTTTGTTTGAATTCTTTTTTGTATTTATAGATTTCTACTGTTTTTTATCTTTGGCAGTGATTTTTTGTTTCTTTTTCCATTATGCAAAGTTGTTGCATCTGTAGTTTTATTTTTCTTGGATTTTGTTAAGAAATATATTGATAATGTTTTTTATAGTTTCTTTTTGGTTTTTGCCAATATATTGTTATATATCGTTTCTACCTCAGGAGAAAGATAAAGATAAAGAACTAGTAGCAGGAAGGCACTTTAGATGGACAGGACTACTGTAATATGCTAAAGTTTCTAGAGGCATACAAATTAGTACAATTCTGAGGTGTATGAGGTCAAGCGAAAGAAGTAATAGTAATTTGTTTTATAAAGGTTAAGTTATTTATTCAATAAAATATATGTTCAAGCCTGCCAATTCCTAGGTAAAATTGGAGCCTTTATATACATATTTGAGTTATAATATTTTCATACAGGATAAATATATGCTATGATAAAAATATAAGCTAAGATATAAATACTATTTTCGTTAGAATATTCAACTATAGTAGCATTTATATAGATAAATACTTTGGTGAAGATAATATAGAAAGTAAAGATAAAATAAAATAGAAATGTTTTAGAAATGATAAAGGTACAATAGATACAATAGATGTTGAAGGTATTGTAACAGATCTGTAATACAAGACTATTCTAAAATAACTAACATTTCAAAGGTCAATGCTAGTGAAAATCGAACAAGTGTATTGAAGATCTTGGGCAAAAATCATATATTTTTTGATAGTTTTTATTATGTCTGTTGTGAGTGCTCCTCTTGCTATATAGTTTTTTACTTCTTCTGTCCAGTGTTTTGCTTGTTTATTGGGTTTCTTATTTAAATTGTATTTTATAAGTTTGTTGTTTTTATTGCTTACTTTCTTATTGATTATTTGTTATAGTTTTTTATGAATGTTTATTCCATTCCCCACATATACAGTGATCTTCAAATTATTTTAAAATTATTTAAAAATTCTTATAAATTTGAATTTTAATTATTTTATTCTAAAATTTCCTAATTATATTATTTAATATTTCTTCTTTACTATAAACTGTTTTAATAATTTATTCGTTCTCCATTTTTTTCTATGACTTCCTTGCATCTGTTATTCATTGAAAATACTAAATTTTTTATAATTTCTTCTGGGATTCCTTTCCATTCTTCTATCATAAACTTTTCTAAGTTTGTTAAATTCTTTGGTTTTCTTAATTCCACATTTCTTTTAACTATATTCCACATATTTTCTATTGGGTTTAAATCTGGACTGTTCGATGGTCATTCTATACAATTGGTGATTTCTTTTTGTATAAATTCTCTAGCTATCTTACTTGTATGTTTAGGGTCATTGTCTTGTTGGAACCTTCCTTCTTTTCCTTTAATTTGTTTGATTTCTTTTAAATGTTCTTTTAGGATATTAACATATAACCTTGCATCCATTTTTTCAGTAAAACAATGGAGTCTTGTTCTTCCTTTTGCAAAAATTCCTCCCCATGTATGAATCTTTTTTCTTTCTTTTGGTATAGGGCAAATTGGTCTTTCTCCCTTGTACCATCTTGTAATTGTGTTTCGAAACATCTGAAATGAAGTTTCGTCTGTAAATACTGTTTGTGACCAGTCATCTTCAAGATGCCTCTGAGCCCATTCTATTCTAATTTGTTTATGCCTTTCTGTCAGCATAGGGGTTGCTAAGGGGAGTGAATTCTCATATCCCATTCTGTGGAGGTGTCTTCCTACGGTACTTGGGGATGCTTGTATTTCTTGTTCTTGTAACTTGATTGCCAGACTCTTAGTTGTTTCATATGGGCTTCTTC